GTTGTCGGCTGCGCTGTGGTGTGAGGCGGAGTGGTGGGGGGGTGGTTGTGAAAATCCAACCGCTCGGCCTTTTCTCTGGTCGTGTAGTTGATCAGACGAGGACAGTAGATGGTTTGAAGAGGTGGAGTTTGTGTCGGGGCTGGAGGTCGAGTCAGTGAATCCAACAGTCAAACCTGAGACGACACGACGGAGGGAAACAGAAATATTCTTAACAATTAAAAAAAAAAAATCTAGATAATGCAGTAAAATTAAATTTGTGGACAGAAAAATTCAGCTTCTCTTTCAGGGCAATTTAAGACTGGTTACAAAAAAAAATAGTTTATATATTTTAGTGTCCAAATATATTCAAATAGGTTTTGAAAAAAAAAAACACTGTAAAAAACCTTAAATGAAAATAAATGTTTAGTCAAATAAATAACCAAAAGTAGATATTAATAAAGCACAGATCAAAGACAAAATAAATTGAGGAAAAAAAAATTAAAATTCAGGAAATAGGTGAAAGTCAAAAAATGGCAAAGAAAAAAAATGCTAAAGGCTGAACTTAATTGAGATTTGAACATTTAAAAAAATGTAAAACAAAAAACAAAAATAAAAAACCTCAACCAGATCATGTTGTGAACTAGAACTGTTTTTATGTCTTTATTCTTTGTTCAGTCCAAATAAACCCCGCTGCAGTACTGACCCACACCAGGGGGGGGGGGGGGGGGGTTTGGGGTTGTAGATGGCTGTCACAGCTGATCAGGGTCATGTGACAGGGTTTGATCCCCACAGTGAGACTGTGATCCACCTCAGCTCCTCTTATCTGCTCTTTACGGCCGAATTAGTCCTCTGATCACCTTCAAAGGACGTCTTTTATTGTTCTCCGTGGAGCGGCGTGTGTGTGTGTGTGTGTGTGTGTGTGTGTCTGGTAACCTCACAGGAACCTCATCTGGTACAAGGACCGACCTTTGTGCCACCAATTGTCTCCGAGTCCAAACTCTGGTCCTGCTGAGGTCAGAGGTCGTCTCTGAGAGTTTCCCTCGAATGTTTAGTGAAAAACGCTGCAGTGTCCGAGGCTAATGTAGCTAGAATATCCCAGGCTAATGTTGCTAAAATATCCCAGGCTAATGTTGCTAGAATATCCCAGGCTAATGTTGCTAAAATATCCCAGGCTAATGTTGCTAGAATATCCCAGGCTAATGTTGCTAGAATATCCCAGGCTAATGTTGCTAAAATATCCCAGGCTAATGTTGCTAAAATATCCCAGGCTAATGTTGCTAAAATATCCCAGGCTAATGTTGCTAGAATATCCCAGGCTAATGTTGCTAGAATATCCCAGGCTAATGTTGCTAGAATATCCCAGGCTAATGTTGCTAAAATATCCCAGGCTAATGTTGCTAGAATATCCCAGGCTAATGTTGCTAAAATATCCCAGGCTAATGTTGCTAGAATATCCCAGGCTAAAATGTCGCTAAAGCATTAGAGTTTTAAAATGTTCAGTTATTTATTTTATTTTATTTTAATTCAGGTTCAGTTCATGTTACTTTGCTTTAGTGACTTATTGTGATGATCATTAATAATCAGGAAACAACATAAATTCCACTCTGGAGATGTTTCTTAATGAAGATCAATATGTTGCTCTAACACACACACACACACACGTCGACCTGCTGTGATTCGTCTCAGTATTTAGAAAAACGTGATTAATCAGAAATGACGGCTCTGGTCCAACATTTGTGGAATTTTTTTTTTTTTTAAGTTGTTCCGTAAACGCCCAGAGAGGAGAAGGTCTAGGTCTTTGACTCTGGACCAGGTCTAGGTCTTTGACTCTGGACCGGGTCTAGGTCTTTGACTCTGGACCTGGTCTAGGTCTTTGACTCTGGACCGGGTCTAGGTCTTTGACTCTGGACCGGGTCTAGGTCTTTGACTCTGGACCGGGTCTAGGTCTTTGACTCTGGACCAGGTCTAGGTCTTTGACTCTGGACCTGGTCTAGGTCTTTGACTCTGGACCGGGTCTAGGTCTTTGACTCTGGACCTGGTCTAGGTCTTTGACTCTGGACCAGGTCTAGGTCTTTGACTCTGGACCGGGTCTAGGTCTTTGACTCTGGACCGGGTCTAGGTCTTTGACTCTGGACCGGGTCTAGGTCTTTGACTCTGGACCGGGTCTAGGTCTTTGACTCTGGACCAGGTTCTGGTTCCTGATCGATCAGACCAGATCAACTCTGCTGCTCTTTCTGTGTGACCTTTATCAGCTGAGGACAGGAAGTGTCCGTGTCTGGAGCAGGTCATTTATATTCCCGCTCCGCTCCATACGCTCTCTTTCATCGTCCACTCAGAAATTCACTCTGAAGGTATAGAGTGAGATGATATAGAAGAAGACGACCAAAAAAAAAACAAAAAAAACGGGGTTGAACATTTGTCCGTCCACACGTTTTCTCAGTCTTTGTTCTTTGAAGTGTGGATGTTGGATCAACGGTCGGACTCCGGTCGGACTGTTGATGGTCGGACTGTAGAGAAAACTTTGATAGTTTAATTAAAGGAGGTTCAACCCGTGGCCACCTCCACTCCTCGGCCTTGAAGGAATGATTTGATTCTGTCTGTTTTTTCTGACTCATCAGTGGTTTTATCAGCAGCCAATAGGAGTGTCCACGTTACCACCACATGAACGTCATAAACCTGATGAAGTGACTGTGGGTCGTATTGTCTACAGTGAGTCCGACATCGACCGACCGCCGACGTTATCACCAAAGAGAAGAAGAAAAGTGATGCGTGGGTTTTTCTCCTGCTCTGGTTTCACCTCCTGTAATGTCGACGTGACTGTGACTCTGTCCTGGTGGAACAAACATCCTTCTCCACATTTACAGAATAAATTCTGCTTGAAAACAAATCCAAATTCACTTGCGGAGAGAAATGGTTCCACAGGACGGATCTCAGAGTCCGACGCTGTGACCAGGGGAGGGTGGTGGGTGAGAATCCCTGACTCGCTCCTTTAATTCCAGCCTTTATTAAGCTGCTGGAAACGGTTTCCATCGGGGGCTTAGTTGGAAATTGCTCTGAAAGCAAATCGAGACCCACGGGCTGGTGTGTAGACCGGGCTTAAAACCCATGATTGATAATCAATAAGGACAGGCCCGAGGACGGCTGGAGTTTTCAAACTTCTCAGAGATGAACCCATCAGACAGAGGTTCTTGTTCTTGTTCTTGTTCTTGTTTCTTCTTTCATGACCAGCGTTGTTAACTTATTACACTCCAGATGTCTTGTGATTGAAGAGTCGTAGGTTCGAATCCCAGTCCAGGTTTGTTGAGAGAGCACTAACACCCCCGCTGGTCCCCAGGTGGGACGACGACAAATTAAAGTTGTGGTCGTTAACAACTGAGCCACGACAGGCAGCTGGCTGACCAATGGGTGATCGGTTCTGGACCTGTTAGTTAGCACTGAGCTGCACAGTTACCCTGAAGGAGAGGCCCCACCAGCGCCTCCTACCTTCAGGGATGTTGAAGTGCAGGAAGAGGAACATTATTTATTCTACTGTCTTTGTTTTCTTCTGTTGAAGTGAAGAAAAGAATTCTACGATGACAAAAAATAAAAACAACGAAGGCGACTTCAATGTTGACCTTTAGTTTTTAAACCCAAGACCAAATTGAACGTCAGACATTTGGAGGATTTACAGAATGTTTTCTTCTCACCACAGTGAACCTGCTGGACTCTCGCTCCGTCATGGTGGACCTGGGATGGGTGGCGTACCCCAAGAACGGGGTGAGTTCTCATGTTTTATTCAACATCCTCACAGTATTTGTCGTCCTTCGTACGTGAACGCGGGCCGACGCGTGGCCTTTGTGCGTTGATGATGTCATTCACACTGACAATAAAACATAAACACATCAGTCGTTCACTTTTCTTTGAAATGTTAATTAAAGCCGCAGAAATCAGAAAACTCGTCTGCAAAGATCAAAGCTGCCGTTTCCAGCCATAACTAGA